CGATGCGTGATGTTTCTGAGAGCAAAACTGAAATGTTCGAGCGAAATGGTATGGTGCTGTAGAATCCTGCCCTCTACGTTAATGGTGACTTCTTTATAGAATGGCGTGATCCTTGTCGTGAAATTGTTGTGTAGCTCACAAAGCATCCATATATATTGAGTAAGAACACTCTGGTGTCCCACGGCTTCGATTGGGGCTTCTGACTCGACGGTATCAAAGGCCTTCTTCAAACCGATGAGGGTCAGACATAACGTCATTCTGTATTCTCGCGATACTTCAATGAGTCCTATAACAATCTGGATGCGATCGATTGCACTAAACCTTCTCCGAAATCCTGCTTGCCGCATGGCTGTCCTTCATCCGATATTCTGCAAATTCTGTTCAGGATGACTCGTGTGAAAAATTTTGAAATTAGAATGAAACACCTCTCACGATTCAATACTAGCGATGACCGTTTTATTTCCTCAAAGTTGAGTAACCAAACCCATAAGTGTCTATAACATTAACTAATTTGATCCACCGTAATCACATAAGCCCAAAAATTGCATATCTTCCCAATAAACAAAGTGAAAAATGCAAAAATAGAATGCAAAGAGAATGAATGAGACAAATTGGGCTGGCCCTAGAATATGGCACCTGTACGGCTTTCATACTAGACCCCAGCTGTTGCTTCTTGACACTGAAGAAGTCCTGCACGTGATTCTGCTTGTTAGCCTGGCTCGCTTTTGCGATATAGAAAGCAACAGAAGACTGAGCAGTAACTGCCAATATCGCAGGGTTTTCCATTTTTAGGCAGGAGCACTTTATACAGAAGCAGAGTATAAGTTCTGTTTGAGTGTTTCTCGAGTTGCTGGATTTCTACAGCAAGGGAACTTTGCTTTCCGGAAGGTACCACGTGAAGAGCCTAGCCGGAGCTCGGACGATAACGGATGGAAGACGGTCTAGCCTATCTCTATCTTATCCAGCTATATTAGATTTTGCAGAGCAATGGCACAAGTTCGACGTCCCTTCTCTTTTGGAAAGTCAGACTTACCACCTCCGTATGACAGATTATTGCTAGATTCGTTTTTCCTGGCTAGTTTTGATCCTACAAACGCTGAAAGGGAATTAGCTCAGATAAAAAAATTGGGTAGAAGACCAGGAATATACCGTTCACTCAGTTAATCCTCTGGCAAATTCGCCAAAATCGAATTATTCGCCTTCTTCGAAACTTGTAAGTTGAATGTATATTTGTTACCTTAACGAATTGCAGATAGAATATTCTTATGGTTGTGAGGCTGAAGTGAAATCTGCGAATCTAACTTTCTCTAACGTGATATTCTTGTGTTATTTCGCCGTAGTACGCCGTATGAAAGTATTGCAAGGATGGCGACTTGTGGACAAAGTCGTCCTTTAGACGGAATACTGGGCCTAAATTCGTTGGTGAAGCCTGAGCACTTCAACCACTCCAATCAATGTTTTTTGTACACTATAGTATAGAACGTCTCTGACGAAAGGAGTTTTTTGTGCAGTGATTTCAAAAGGAGGCATAATTCAGAGACCCTATAATTGTGTCAAGTAGCCTTCTCCGACAAAGTTATGGTGAAAGCCCGTTGCCTGCACAAAAGATTATCGAACTTCTCAGGGTGAGTGTGTAGATGTGGTTCATTGTGGAAAAATCCATTTCATTTTGTACTTATAGGAATGGACAGGCGTATCTCAAATTCTCATTCGCAACATGTATCAAAACCGTCGCAATGATGTGATTCTCATTACGAGCGTTGGTACAGCGACTTCCCGCCAGCGTTTAGCACGTCTTTTACTACTACCAATCGACCAGCTGAGACGCGCAGTCCGAGACGAAACGGTTCCATGTTTTGTGAGAGATGAAGCACTCTGAAAGTTTCTCTCCTTTGCATTCGAGTCAGGACTTTTGAAAAACTCAACATTCTATTCAACCAAGCTAATCCTTTCAAATAATCTCAGGCTGACGACGAATCTTTGCATTGTCCCCTTGATACTCTTAAATTCTGACACTACTCGTGGAAAAGCGATTGTGTTACGAACTAGCAAAATGGTGCACTCAGGTTCCTCACGCAACAGTGTAACCACAAGGGAACGATTTCGATCTCAGCAAACCGTAGAGGAGAGACAGTTTCTAGCCGGTTCCTTTCCTCAACTCAACTGATCCCGTAAGCTACCGAAGCTGAAGTTTTAGAGCATGCTGCTGATATGAGACCACAGAATTCATCTTCTCAGAGCAAAATGAGAAAAGCTTGTTCTGTCTCGATTTCTTTGTAATGTGTAACCAGAAGTAATTCCTTCACCCTCGAGGACATCCAATGCTTACCTAAGAGTATATGCAGCGACCCCAACTTCTATTCGCAGAGCTTTCTTTGATGTGTGAATGCTAATGATGTTTGCTGCAATGTTAAAGGGTTCTTTTTCAGTTTTCACTCGATAATTGACCCTACCATGTATGCGGAGAATATGATGCCTTTTTTTAACAAAAAACTTTCTGTGTGAAGGAAGTGGACAGCTTGGCTTGAAACAATTTCCTCATCGAAATCTTCTTCTTTTGCGACTCATTCTACTTCTACTCAACCCTACGTCACTCTTCTCTGAAGTGATTTTTTCGAAAGAAAAACGGATTCAGTTGCTTCCCACAATGCTGAGAGGAGTCACCTCTCACCTTGACCATTTAGCCTTATATACTAAGATATAAATTTCAAAATTCCAATGCTTGATGCTCAGCTTAGATCATTGCTCGTTTTTGATCCTTATCTCGGAAGGCAACCAAGCAATAAGTTGTGTTGTATTGACTCAATTGATGTGTATTAGCTGAAGTAAATCTGTTGATTCCAAGAAAGATAGTTTGGCACTGTATGTGGTCAAACAGGCACACAACAGAAGAGTTAGTGAATTCATCCCCGTTGAAGCAATGAGTAGTTATTCGAGGTTGGAAGTGAAATGGCAGAAATGTAGCAAACTCCTAAGCAAGTGTTTTTTCTGGTGTATGGTGATAAGCTGGTGTTGAAAATAGCATGACTCTACTGTAAACTCAACTTCAATAATATATGATGCAAATATAGCAGAGTGGTCAAGAATGTAAGCTCGTACTTGCTCACGCAGAAAGAGCGCGAGTTCGATCCTTGCTAAGTCGAAAGCCATGCCTTGCAAGAATAGAAAAAACAGCGGAATCGGTACCAAAGCCAGAACCAGATCGATAGGCCGGTCGAGTTCGGGAGAAACTTCGTTACAAAAACATATCAAAAGCCTCTCAAGAAATCACTATAAAAAGAAAGTCACCCTAGGCAGGGCGCAGGCTCCCACCCAAGTTCTGTAGCAGTTGGCGAGATCTGCCAAGGAGTGAACCACCTCGGTTATAGAAGTTGCTACGAATGGGAATCTTTGATGTGAGATCTCTTTCTGAAGTGGCAAAAAATGGCTAATTCAATGAAGTGCAGGAACATTCATGCCCTGTGAGGATAGACACGAAAGAGTTCACGGGTAGACGGAGGAGGAGGAGGGGGTTAGAAGAATAGGAGCTAGAAACAAAGAAAGAGACAGGTTTTCGATCTGTCATAGCCCATGACCAAACAATCTGTGCACGACTCCAGCATAAGAGGAGCTCCAGAAGGTTGTCTTCAACACTGGAAGAAGACAAGCGAAGTCGACCATATAATCTGCATGGCGAAGATGTGGCTACACAGTACTTACCTCCTCCTGCAGATACAGCCATCCAGCTCACAAAGAAGTCCAAGATAAATATGGGCAAGTGCGGAAGCTGCATTTATCCGAGGAAGAAGACCTCAAGCGGAAACTCTGGGAACGTGTCTGTCCAATTTCCGAAGGTCGGAGCTAGCAGACCTGAATTCACTTCGTAGAAGTCATTTTTTGGTTTGTGAGGGGAACGCTGGAAAGACGCGACATTCTGACGGATGAGACGTGGAAGCAAGGTTCCAGAACGATGAAGTCCAGCGAGCTGTGAGGCAGAGAAAATACCCCTACAAGCAATGAAAAAAGCAAGCTCAAGGGAGCGAGTTATTCTTCTTATTCTTGAACTTCTGTCCCGCTTGTAGGACGGATCCCTCTTCTAAATATATTGAAGCCACTTCTCACGTTCAAATGCTTGATCGGAGTCAAAGTTAATTGCTCTCAGGTTTTCGTGCAACGTGTCAAACCATCGCTGCTTTCGGCATCCTCTAGGCCGCTTTTCGGACCCTTGAAGATTGAAACCGGTCTTACGGACGTGCCATGATTACCGGGAAGAACATGATCATACCATCGGCGATGGCTCCGCGCATTTTGTAACATGGGCGCTACACAGATTCGCTCCGTGATGACGTCATTACTTAGCGGTATTGTCGCATTACTCCGGCTGTCCAACGCAGCTTCTTGGTCTCCACCAAACTGAGAGGGGCTTTAACATCTTTAGTCGCAGGTCAGCAGTCGGCGCCGAATATCGCGACGGACGGGATGAAGGTTTTATAGATCTTGTATTTGAGACGCTCAAAGATGTTCTTATCACAGAGTACGCTAGCCATTGAATGCCACTTCAACCACACTGCATTTGCGCGAGAATTTGATTCGAAATTCAGGTTGGCGTCACACGCAATCGTCGGTCAGCTCGACATTGTCACGAATACGATCGTCTGCAATCCGCTCAAAGATTTTCATGCTGTTAGCAAGCGAGTCGGACAGTAGCAAGTGCAGGCTCTTAGGCACCTTCTTCTCTGCAACGACCTGGATGGAGAATTCCGTCAACCACCCTGCAGGATTATAGCCCTTTGATTTCCACAAATCCGCCGCCAAGTCGTCAGCACCAGTCATTCGCCTGATCTCATCATCTTCATAGCCGTAACGGTCTCTTTCACCGGCTATTTTCTAGACGGAACTGTGTACTGGCGTAGCTAATACGACTGCTAAGATGTTTTCGAAGTACTCTCGCCTTCGTTTCAGTGATTGCCTGAGGTCCGCTAAGACGTGGCAGTTTTCGTGATTCACGCCGAAGAACTTTTCTATATCCTCGCTCTGGCGATTGCGAATCTTTGCGGGTCCTTGGACATACGCCCACCTTTGCGAGACTCGAGTTTCTCATTGAGACCGGCGTAATGAGCTGCCTTCGCAGAAGCAACGGACTTCTTCTCTATCTGATAGGGCTGCGAGTTGTCAGCTGTCTTTTTCATAAGAAATTTGTGGTACTGCTTCTCTTCCTCCTTTCTGTCTCTCTTACGTGGTCCGTCCACAGCCGTGTTTGCTTGCCAACCCTTCGCCCAGGCTTGGTCATGCCGAGCTCCGACTGCGCGACCTGGTTTATTGCTTCGCTTGATGCTGCTCCCCTCTAAGTTTCGGCGACGGTCGTTACCGCCGGTAATAGAATGCGGGTGTCGACGGTTGCTTCTTTCCCTGCAATCGCCACCACTTAATTCTTGCTGCCCACACTTTTCATCTTGTTTCAATTTTGGGGGGGGGGGGCGGTCCTGAGAGTGCAATTCAGTCATTCGTTGTTCTATTGCGATGGCTTCATAGGATATTGTGTTCGCGTTCACAATGGCGAGATTATGCGAGTCTGCATGTTGATGAAAGTGGTTGCCGTCATATTACGAGACCCAAATCCAAAACCGCAGAAATAACCCGCCTTCCGTAGAGCTCAGGTGATCACTGAGATTACTCTCAACAACCATGGCGCCATGTAACGGTACCTGCACATGCAGGTTCAGCTTGAGCGAGGGTTTCTTAGGACCAAATGGTATAAGAAACCCACCAGCAAGAATATCCTGGTCCACTTCAGGT